AACCCAAAACAAAGAAAAAGATAGGTCACATATTTTTGAAAAAAAAAAAAAAATGAAAAAGTAAATAAAAGAAAACGAAAAATATTTTTTTTGTCAATCAAGAACAATAATATTCGGCATTTTTGTTGTAGATATTTTTGATTTTAAAGATGTAACTGAATTATTATTTCTATCAATTATTGTTGGTAATGAAGGATGATTTGGTAAAGAAGGATATGAAGATTTTGGTATAACAGAACGAAGTGGAACAAGTTCTAAAATATATGATATTTCATTTTTTAAAATAAATAAATTATTATTTTTTACTTGGAGGTGATAATTGAGTTGTATTAATTTTTTTCTGAACTTTTACATTAGAATTATTTAATTGTGATGATATATCTAATTAAATAAATATTTTAAAAAAAAAAATTTTTTTTTTTTCTTTGTAATTTTAAATTTTATGACTTACTAAGATTTCCTTTTAAATATCGATATGTATTATCATATGTATTAGGTAATTTATCAATTTTAGTTTGTGTAAATATTGAATCACCATTTGTTAATGATGAATGTAATGAAGAAATTATTGATTGATCATTATGATTTCTATCTGAAGATGATAATATAAATATATGTTTACGACTTTGACGTAGAACATGTTCATCTTCATATAATTGATTTTGTTGTTTATATTCATCATATTTATTATTTAATTTTAATGAAGTAGTTAAAATATCTAGATTATCAACAGATAATATTGAACTAAGAATATGATTGGGTAATGTACATATAGGTATTGATTGATCACTAAAATTAAATTTAAACTCTTTTGTTTTTTTGTGTATATTGATTTAAGTGTAAATATTTCATAGTTTTAATTAATCGATCAACTCTATTAGATAAGTCTATTGATAGGAAATAATACACTTAAATAAATGTATTAGGAAATCTTTCAAAACAAAAATATAAATTTCCATTAAAGCTGTCGAACTGACAGCCGAAAGCTAAGTTTTAATAAAAGAATCATGAATCAAAAAACAGAATAACTTCGATGACACATCCTTATTTTTGCATGTTCCTGTATAACAAATACTCAGAAATTTCAACAAAAACGATAAATTCTATTAATCTATATAGTCAAGGACTTAATAATTTTCTTATCAAAGTATATTTCTATTTGACATAAAACGACATGCTCTTATCAAAGTTGTATCTTTGACAAATTCGTTATTACTTTATCTTCTGTCTATCGTGTGATCATTATTAGATATGTACCCATTATTAAAGACATAACATGATTCTATTAATATATGTTCAAAACACATATGTATTATTACAGTCATTTTTCTTTTGTCCTTGAAAATTTTCTTTTCTTCTCGCCCTGTTTCTGTCTTTGTACTTATACTTTTTGACATTTTTTTTTTTCGTTAAATAAACTAAAGTATCCAAAAACTACTAACATAAAAATTTTTTTTCTTTTGTTTTTTTTCATCTCTGATTCTCACCTGTTATCTTCACTATTAATAATATAATTAACAATTGTACGTAAACAATTTGCAATTTCATTATTAAATTGTATTTGATGAAATTTTGTTAAAAAATTTCTTGGCTTTAATATATCTTGTGTATGACACATTTGTCTTAAAGTATGTTCACGACATATATTATATTCTAATGTTAATGAATGTAAACGAAATGTTTTTTTCATTAAATAACATCTACGATGTTTCATTATAACATATGTTTGATTTTGTTTTTCTTTTCCTTTTGAATTTATTAATGATCGATGATTAATATCAGATTTATCTGATAATATTAATATATCATTATCATCTTCATAAAAGAAATCTTTTTGTTTAGAAATTTTTTTCTTTGATATTTTATTTGTATGTTGATCATTAAGTACTGCTGATGATATTATTAATCGTTGATCATTATTATTATTATTATTAGTAGTAGTAGTAGTAGTATTATTATTATTTGTTTTTGTTAATGATGAATCCATACATAAAGCAAATGTACCATCAGAACAACGTGTTACATAAAGTAGATCAAAAGATTTTGGATTTGAAGAATCATTTATATGTTCATGTACATTTAAAATATGTTTTTCAAACATATGTTGATTGAGATTATAATGTGAATATGTATAAAATGAACATTGGTCACAAAAAAACATATGTGTAAATAGATGTTGAAGTAGAGTTGAACTTAAAATATAAATATAAATAATTTTATAAAAATTTTTCTTTCTGTAAAAATTTACCTTGTTACACTTTTAAATTTACATATATTACATTGATAATATTTTGAATCATGAAAAGCTGAAAATAAACCAGTACCATTAAGTATTTGTCGACGTATAATAGGTGTAGAATTATTTATTAATGAAGTTGTCGTTACTGTTGTTGTTGTAGTAGCAGTACCAGTTGATGATAATGATGTTCGTGAAGTTTTTTGTGTTTGTGGAATTATTTGTTGTTCTGGTTGTCGACGTACAGGTAATGGAGGTGAAGTCTAAATATATGAAATAGAAGAATCATTCTTGTTTTGAGAATCACAACGGATTAATTGACGAATACAAAAACTATGAAAATCAAATCGGTAATATAATTTTGAACAGTAGTGGATTTAAAGGGGAGAAAGAGCCAAAAAATGAGCCAATGCGAACTTAAAGACATGTTTTGTGATCATGCCTCTCCTCCCCTCCCTTTTTCTTCATATTCTCAATTCGTCACTAATTTCGAATGTGTTCTAGTCAAGAAAAAGAAAGCAGATTGTATTCGGTAAATTTTATCTCATATCAAGAGACTTATAAGAATTCGAAATAAAAACATAAATTTATATTAGTATCAATCCTATGATCTAAAGAAGACCTTGATAGATATGTATTATCGTGCATACTAATAGAAGAAGCATAGAGTAGTAGATTTGAAACATTAATTACAGATACTGTTCTCAGTCATCAGTAGAAGAACACAATTACAATCGGTTTTTTTTTCATGATAGAAATTTCTTCCACACAATACACCTGTCGTGATTTATATCATATGTACAATTGAGCTTATTCATTGTATGAAACATGATCTAAGAAGAATATTAAACTATACGGGTAGACATTTGGACCCTCCTTCATAAACGTCTTAGCAACGGGGTTATCACAGACATCATTAGCCCTTTGATAGCGAAGTTATTTTTAAATTTATAATTTTTGTACTTAAACTTGATTTAAAAATGCAATATAAGGAATCATCGCAGACAGTTTAGTGACACCTTTGCACTGTGATATATATAACCATGGGATCAAAGTCTACTGCAGGATAGTTGTTCTTTTACTTTTCTTCGACAGTCATGACAATATATTATAATTAATACGTTGCATTAACAGTAAATGGGAATTAATAAACGGAAACATATCTTCTCTTTTATAATAAAAAAAAACCAACATTTCTATCGTGTTTTACATTTTAATCTTACTAAAAGCTTTTCTTTTTACGTGATAGAAACTAAACAGATATTAAATTCATAATTTTTATGTTAAATATTAGTCTATTTTTGACATAAGAACATAAGAAAAATTGACAAGAATGACAATACTTAGTTCTTTTTTAATAACTTTTCTATTTACATCTGACATGAATAAAAAATAAAAGGAAAGAAAAATCTTCGAGACATATATGAATGATAAAACTTAAGTGGACTATCTTATCATGATTATTATTTTTCATCAAATACGAAATAAAAAGAAAGACAAATCTTACAGATTGTGTATATGAAATTCGAGAATTTTTCACTGGTCGACCACGTTGTACATTTGCTCGAAAAAAAGATGTTGTTGGTTTAGGTAAAGGTAATGAAACAAGTGCTAATGATGGTTGTTGTTGTACAGGAATAGCAATTGGTTTTCGTTGTTGTTGTTGTTGTTGTTGTTGAATAAATTGATGATTTGAATTTGTATTATCTAGTTTATCAATTGAACGTTGTACTATATGATTCATATTTGAATTTGATATAGTCGAACCTCTTGATACTGTTTGAATAGGATGATTTGAAGATATTTTAGTTGGTAATAATGGGGGTGGTGGTGGTTGAATTGTCCAATCAAAAGAACAAAATGTAGGCGGATCAGGTTCTTCAATAATATATTCATCTGGATCAAGTAAAATTGGTTCAGGATCGGGATCAGTATCAATAAAATTTCTTGATGTTTGTTGTTGATAATGATCATTTCGTTGACGTTTTGACCAATTTACAATTGATGGATTAATACGTACATTTGTATTTGTTAATTTTCGTTTTTTATGTGACATATTCATATCATTTGAAGATGATGATGATGATGATGATGTTTTTATTAATGACATATTTGTTTCAACATATGAATTTTGTTTATTATGATTATTATTATCATCATCATCATCTCCTAAATATAATACAGGTGGTGATGATGAAAAATTCATCTATAATAAAAACATGAATATAAATCAATTAACATATAATTATCTATTAGATATTTTATTTTAATAAATAAATAAATAAATAAATAAGTAAATAGAAAAGAAAATAATAAAAATAAAATGAAATCAATCAAATATCGTTACTTTTGTGTTTCTTTTTAGAGCGCTACAAGCAAATACAAAATAATATATTACATAGCGCTAGAAAAGAAATTTTATAATTGGTTAATTGATTTTATAAGTGCACATTTTTTATTTTTAACACACTTCGACATTTTCAATTTTTGAAAATAGAAATGTTTTTTGGACTTTAAAAAACAATATGCTTCATTATGAAGGACTTGCCTAGGTAGCAAAGAGTAGAAGTTGTATTATAGTTTGATAAAGAATTTAATTTGTAATATATAGTTACACATGAATATTTAATTTTACAATTGTTTACATTTATTATTAATTAATAACGTTGGTAGTTTGTATTAATTAATTTTAAATTATTTTCTTTTTAAATCATTCGAAAGTATAATTTAAATTAAAAAGACAAGAATTAATAAAGATATGTTAGTAGTTTTCAGTTAAGATTCGTGAAATGTTTGAAATTAGATTGATTAGAATTTTACGAAGGATAAATATTTGCCTGTATGTGAGATCTTTCTCAAGAACAAGTCAAGGATTTGATTTTTTTTCTTTTTCTATTCAAGAAGATTTGAGAGTGATAAGTGCTGATATATATCTCCGTGGAAAAAATAGCTTAACTTTGTATTTTAAACATATCATTGCTATCAATTAGCATTTTTGGAAAAGTAATTATATATTCGGATAGCCCGTGGAATTCTCTACAACTCTATATATGTACATTTGGAATTGGATTTGTTTACTAAAACTAAATTTAAGCACAGTGACAGCACCGTCATCGTCAGATTCCCCAGAGATGCTTTTTTTTAAACTCCTTTTTCATTCATATTTTTAAGTTTATTGTGAATATAGAAACAAGTTATTACAAAAGTAAGTATATATTCTGAGAGCGTGTAAAATGCTCTATCACTCTGTACTTTTGTCAGTCTTGTCTTGCAATTATTTGATAACAAATACTTCGAGTATTGTTAATGTTCCCCTCACTGTAACACTCCCGCTCTCGAATACTACACATGAACTCATACAGCAACTCATGAATGGTCGTCTGGTAACTGAATAAGATTGTATGGATAATTATCCACGTGTCAGCCCTTATTTTAATGCTACTAAGAGTTGTTGGTCTATGATAAACCACTTTGGATAGAGATATGGTCTAAATTTTTAACAATATCTGACCTAAAAACGTGATGCATGGGTGCATTAACAATACTCAAAGTATTCTTTATCAAATAATTGCAAGACAAGACTGGCAAAAGTACAGAATGATAGAGCATTTCACATGCTCTCAGAATATATACTCACTTTTGTAATAACTCGTTCCTATATTCAAAATAAACTTAAAAATATGAATGAAAAAGAAGTTTAAAAAAAAACATCTTTGAGGAATCTGACGATGAAGGTGGCTTCATTGTGCTTGAGTTTATTTTTAACGAACAAATGCAGCTCCAAACGTACATATATAGAGTTGTAGAGAATTCCACGGGCTATCCGAATATATAATTATTTTTTTAAAACTGTTGATTTATAGCAATGATATGTTAAAAATACAAAATGAAACTATTTTTTCCAGGGAAATATATCAATGTTAACATAGAATGTAATGTTTTAGAAGAGCTGACAATTCTGAATTCGAATCATGAGATAGAAAATATTGATTTATAAGAAAATTCATCAATGAAATTGATCAAACATTGCCTATATTTCTTTCGATAAAATCAATCAATTATACATACAATGATATTTTCGTTAATAACTCAATCTAATAAGATCAATATCTGAAGTTTTACTATTTGATTGAAATCATACATTCGATAAAAATAAAATTTCAAAATCATGAGATTAAAAAAAGAATTGACTGTTTTTTAGCAAGTAAATTTTCAAATGACAAATGTATATACTATTGATTTCTTAGATTTTACTTTTAATCGATCAATATTCTTAACTCTAGTCATTCTAATAATGAAAACCCTTTTTACACCTTATCATAGAAAACGATTGATTTTAACTTATTTATGAGTATTGAATCTATTTCATTTAATAGCAAAGTTCGTTTGTCTTTTTGATCTTATATAAATGGCTACTTCGGTATCGGCTTCTTATTCTGCCGGTGATATGCCTCATGAAAAATGTCGACGATCAGTCTATCCTAATCAAAGTATTCCTTCATTACGTCGTGAACGAACAGTTATAGATGGAGAATTTAATCGAAATCAACAATTAAAACCAATCTATTCCAATGAATTACCAGTCAGATCTTCAGCATTTTCTGGTGGTATGTATGACTATTTCATTTTTGTTTTTGATAAAAATAAAATTTTATATAGAAAAACAATATGATCGACGTCAAATACCAAAAAAAGTTCGTTCAGCAAAATCAGACGAAGTAAAAAAAAAGCTTGTTTTTCTAAATTAAAATATGAATTCATTTTTATTTCATTTAAAGATCTTTCATTTAATCAATCGAAGATTACAAACAGGTGTTTATGGTGTACGTCATATGTTTCGTTCGAATGATCCAAATCAAGAAGGAAAATTATCTAAGTAAACAAAAAAAAAAAGAAAATGTCAAAATCGAAATGATATATTTTGTTTCTCTATTAATTATATTCTCTATAGAGAAGCATTTCGACGAGTATTAATGCAATTATGTGGTTACATAAATGTTGAAGAATGGGAAAAAGTATGTAAAATGTAAGTTTATTGGTGTTTTCTTTTTTTTTGTATATATACATCAATTTTTATTTACTTTTGTAATAATGATCAAAATTTAGGTTTCATATCAATGAACGTGATGATACTATAACATTTCAAGAATTTCTTTCTTATTTTCCGGATAATGACGTTAGAAAATTATATTTATAAAATATTGAAAATAATTTTATATTATTTATTTGATTTTTTTTTTAGAAAGCAAGACGTGAATTATCATTATCTCAAATAGATCGTCATAGTTCATCATTATTAACTTTAAGTCAAAATGCAACTTCTTCTCAACAATCATATCATAAACATAATTTACCTAAACTTACTGCTAATTATTGTTTTTCATTAATGAAAGCAAGATGTCGTGATCCGTAAGTGTATTCACTTTTTTTTCTCTAATTTCTTACAAGGAAAATCAAATAAACTTTTTTTGTTTTTTTTTTTTTTTTTTTTTAAAAATTATTTTTTATTTTTAGATCATTTACACCAAATGATTATTTACCATCTGATTGTTTAAATGATAGTATTATTATACGTGATCATTTAAAAAAAATTTTAGAAAATTTTCAATTAGATGATATTATTCATAATGAAAATGAATTTGAAAAATTATGGTCAAAATTTGATCTTAATAATTCTGGTATAGTACGAACAAATATATTTCTTCGTTTATTAGATTATCGTATTAATCTTGCTGATGAAATTGATGCTAATATTCAAAAATTAGTAACACGTTCAGGTGCAGCTGGAATTGTTGATAGAAGAATTTCATCATCAACAGGTATAACAAATGGTTCATCACCATCAAGAAAACAAAGACAATTATCAACAAATAAAAATCGAGATTATTATGAAAATGATATACAATTTAAACATACTGCACCACCACCACCAACAGCTTTAGATGAACCATTAAATGAATCAATTAGACCTTTAATTGAACAACATATTAATGATAATGATGGTGATGAAAATTCAAATAAAATTTCATCGAGTATGAATTTATCAACAAGAGAATTAAGTACAAAATTTCGAACATTAGTACAACAACATAGAAAAATGATTAAACAATTAAATGAAAATGATGAATTTTTACCATTTCTTGATCGAAAAGTAAATAGATTTACTTATTTAATATCAAAATATGAAAGGATGCATGATAAACTATATTATCTTTAAATAATTTCTAATTTTCGAAAAGGTTACAACCAATCCGCATGAAATTTTTATCACAGATAAAACATCAAAAATAAGGAGAAGGAAAAAAAGTTTTCGTGATTATTCGGGAAATCTTGGTTTTTCCAAAGGATTACATTGGGCTTGCTTACGACCACCGTTTGACTTCGTTCACAGATATTCGGAAGGGTGAAATCGATCGTTTTCGTTTTTGACCTTCCTAATCTGAATTTATAGAGCCCTGCACATCAGCTTTGGAAAAGATTAAAATCACATTTGATATAGAATCTAGGGTATCTTCAAAAAATCTCCAGTCCAATTGAATAAAGTTAGACGCGATTCATAAGTAGGTCCAATGTGGTCTTATGAACAACAAGAGTTTCTCGAAAAAAGTTTTTTCTTCAAACATGTATGTGTTCCTGTTTTGAGTGTTCTATCTGTGGTTAAAAATTTCATATTGATCTATTGTACCCTCTTCGAGAACTAGACATGGTCAAAAAACAGAGAATGTTTAGATGAATAATAAATAGTAAGAAATCATACAAGTCTGTTTGAATCGTAGAGATGCATATTCAACAAAAAAATCTCTTTATTGCACTTAAGAGAAGATCGCCTTCTCGGATGTTAAAATCAAGATTTTTTCGATTTTTGGATTTTTCATTCGAAGTGTTCTCTGTCAAATGCCATATAAATGAGGATTCTTCATGGTTAGTTAGTACTCTTTATTAAATCCAACTTTCAAAACCTCCAACAGAAAAATTCGCGCTGCTGAGAACATGACTCATGGACGTCTAACATCACTGAACACAGCCAGTTGGAGTATAAAAAGTATCGATACATACCGGAATATTTGTTTCGTCATTTTTCTCGAAATCAATTTTTATACACGATCAAATTCTTTTCGAATTTTTATTAGAATACATTTATAGGCAAAAAAAAATCATTGCAATTGGAAGAGAGGATAGTTGAAGAGATTTCCTTGTTAATCGTAT